TATTATTATTTTAATTTCTTCATCTTTTATTTTTTTTAATTTTTTAGATTTGGTTTTTATTATTTTGATTATTATTTATTTTATTTGAGATAATTTATGAATTATATTTTTTTTAATTTCATTCTCATTTAACTTTTTAATTTGTAAGATTTCGTCTTTATTATTTTAATAAACTTGAGAAAAATAAAACATTAATAAGTTATTTTTTAACTTATTTTTTATGATATAACTAAATATTGAAAAATATTTTCTAATATATTTTTTATTACACTACCAAATATTAAAAAATAATTTATTTTTTTTAAATTTACTTTCCAAAAAAACTATTTTCGTCTAAACAAACTAACCAAAGAACAGTGTAGTTTCCAGAATGTGTTTCAAGACTAATTATAAAAACATGTTAATTTAAGAATAGGCTGATCTAGAATTTAAATCAATTCTTGTTAAAAAAATATAAAAAAGTGAATAATCTAGAATTTCTAGGTGTTTATTAATTAATTAATGCTATTTTATTAGTTTTTTTATTTTTTTAAATAGATACAAATACGAGAGATAAATTTTAGATAAATATATTTTTATTATTTTTAATAATTTATGAGTTTTTTTTTTGTGTCTGTTATTTTTATTATTTTTAATAATTTATGAGCTTTTTTATTTTTTTATTTTTCTGCAATATATATTTGAAAAGTAATTAATAGTAAATGATTAATAGAATGTTATCCATTACTTATTAAATACCATGAATTTTTCATGAATAACTTGATCTTTGAATGATTTTAAGTAAATCGAATAAAAAACCATGAATTTTTCATGAATAACTTGATCTGATAAAAGTTTTTTGAATGATTTTAAGTAAATCGAATAAAAAATTAGAGCATAAAACCTCTGAATTTTTTTATTTATTAAAATAACATTATTTTAATTATTATTTTTAAATGATCAACCATTATACAATGATATTTCCAATCCATCACCCATCACCCTCCATTGATTTGATTGGCACTCTCCTACAGTCACAGCCTCAATACTCGCTAGCAAATCATCCTCTCTTTTTTTTCTTTTTTCTTTTTATGAATTTGGTTTCGATTTTATATATATATATATATTGTAAAGGTTAATGTACCGCACAAAGGAGAAGTATCATTTACGAAATCAGACGAAAAATATACCAGTTGCGGGCATTCTTTGGTTATGGACATCCAATCCGAGGTTGTTTCAGTCATTTTGGGTGTGATGGAAATAACTTTTATTTTTATCTTTTATTATATTTTAAAGATATTTTTAATTTTTAAATATATTTGTAATATTTTTAATTTTTTATAATTTTAATGTTTTAATATAAAAAAAATCTTTGGAAAAACTTTTTTTTTTTAGTTTTTTTTATGAGAGTGAATGATGCGTTTGAAAAGTAAAGAATGATAGCAACATTTACCAAACTTTCAAAGACATGAAGGACAACATTTTTCAGAATGGATTTGTGACTAATTATAAAAACATGTCACTGACCTTTTGGAAACTTGGTGAATTTGTATTTTTAAAACAATTAATTTTTAATTTTTATTTATTTATGATATATTTTGAATTATTTTAATACATTGATCTAAAAAATTAATTTTTTAAAAAATAAAAAATATATTATTTTGATATATTTTAAAATAAGAAACACTTTAAAAATCAACCGTAACAACACTCTCAGACATGCTAAAAAATAAGTTAATATAAAATTTAAATAGATTTTTATTAAAAAAATAGAAAAGGAAATAATCAAGAAATTCCAAGTATTTATAAATTAATTAGTAATATTTTATTAATTTTTTAAAATAAATATAAGAATGAGAGAGAAATTTTAGAAGAATATATTTTTATCACTTTTAGTAAGTTATGAGTTTCATTTTGTTTATTTTTATTTGTATTTTTTAATATAAATATAAAACATAATTAATAAGATGTCATCAGTTACTTATTAAATACCACAAATTTGTTATAAATAACTTGATTTGAATTGATAAAAAATCTAGATTGATTTTGAGTAAATCAAATAAAAACTAGGCTAACTTGATTTGAATTGATAAAAAATCTAGATTGATTTTGAGTAAATCAAATAAAAACTAGGCTCTAACTTCTTGATTCTTTTTAATTAAAATAACACTATTTTAATTTTTTTTTTTAAATGATCAACCATTGTTGATATTCATCATCCATCACCCTCCATTGATTTGATTGGCACTCTCCTACAATCACAAACTCAATACTAGTAAATCATCTTCAACAAAATAGGTTGATTGTAAAGAGATATAGTGTTTTTCTTTTCTCCCAGTCCTTCTAATTTGGGACTTTAAACAATGTTCACCAATGAAATTGAATTGCTCTACCATTACTCTATCTGTTCAGTTGGATGCCCGCAGATTCATTACCATAGCTAGAAGACTATCATGGGATGTTTTCAAACTCGATCGTTGAAGATATTCATGGGATATACGTTACCTTGCTTGTGTTGATTTCAAGTAAATTATGAGTTAATTTCATTTTATTTTTTAATATAGATCTGAAAAGTAATTAATATGATGTCACCTATTACTTATTGAATACCATGAATTTTTCATAAATAATTTAATCTGAACTGATAAAAAATCTAGTTTGGTTTTGAATAAATCAAATAAAAACTCAGCTTTTAACCTCTTTTTTTTTTTTAATCAAAACAACACTATTTTACTTTTTTTTTAAATGATCAACCATTATTGATATTCATCATCCATCACCCTCCATTGATTTGATTAATGACAGTCTCCTACACTCACAAATTCAATACTAGCAAATCATCTTCGACAAAATACTAGTGTTTTTCTTAGTGCTCCCAGTCCTTCAAATTCGGGACTTTAAACAATGTTCACCAATTAAATTGAATTGCTCTACCGTCACTCTATCTGTTCATTTGCATGCCCACAGATTCATTACCATAGTTACAAGACTATCATGGGATGTTTTCAAAACCGATCGTTGAAGATATTCAGGGGATACATGTTTTCTTGCTTGTGTTGATTTTGAGTAAATTATGAGTTTCATTTTGTCTTTTTTTTTTATCTGTATTTTTTTTTCAATATAGATTTAAAAAATAATTAATAAGATGTTATCAATTACTTATTAAATACCATCATTTTTTTCATAAATAACTTGATCTGAATTGATAAAAACTCAGCTTCTAACCTCGTGATTTTTCATATCAAAATAACACTTTCAATTTTTTTTAAATGATCAACCATTGTTGATATTCATCATCCATCATCCTCCATTGATTTGATTGGCACTCTCCTACAATCACAACCTCAATACTAGCAAATCATCTTCAAAAAAAATACGTTGATTGTAAAGAGACAATAGTGTTTTTCTTAGTACTCCCAGTCCTTCAAATTCGGGACTTTATATAATGTTCCCCAATTAAATTGAATTGCTCTGCCATTACTCTATCTGTTCATTTGCATGCCCACAGATTCATTACCATAATTACAAGACTATCATGGGATGTTTTCGAACTCGATCGTTCAAGATATTCATGGGATACATGTTACCTTGCTCTTTTGTTGCTTGTAAATTGCAATTTTATGTTTTAGGCCGTAGCCCCGTCGTTCTTGATAAAAAATAAAAAAGGAAAAAAGAGTGGTGATGGGTACGTTTTCTTATCCACCCATCAAACCCAAAAAAATTTCGTGGAGGTTATATGTTAATTAAAATTAAATAAACTCTACTAACTAAAGAAATACACACACACACACACACACCATCCAATTTCGTTTGCAAGGGAATTGTTTTATATATATATTGTCGAAGTTAATGTACTGCACAAAGGAGATGTATTATTTACGAGATCAGAGGAACAATTGCATACAATTTACGTCTTCTGCAATGTGAAGCAGACCTAGAACTAATGGTCAAAACAGCTGGAATAACTGGTAGCTGTTGAAGTGACACCATTTAACTGGTCTCGACCTCTGCTTCAAGGGATTGACTAACTTATAGATTTGACACTGGAAGCAGATATTTTTTTGGCTCTGAAATGGATTCTTTTGTCTGCTTTTGTAGGCTTGTAATTGAGTGAGAGCTTCGGCTTCTCTCATCAGGATGTTTTCTTTCCGCTTTAGTGCCTTTTCGCCCCTTGTTTCAATGAATTCATTTGGCTTGCCCCCAGAAGAAAGGGAAGCTATTCAGCTAGCGTAGCCCATCTCAATAACAATCATTATTTATGATTAATGGCAATGGAGATTTCTTTTTGAAGTGGTCAAGAGGGAAGAAATTTAACTCGAATTTCTTCAAGACCTTTATCACATGGTGAAACTTTTATGGGGGCGTTTAAAATGACGATCATATTTCTGCCTTGGGAATGTGATCAATTTTGTTTATGGGAACCAAACATTGTTTTAGGTGACTTGTATTCACTGGTTTATTTTCTTGAGTTGCTTTTTTATCTTTTATCTTTTCAGATTTTGTGTTTTCTTTTTTTGTTGCTTTCAATATTTTATTTATTGTATTGATCTTCTTGATTTATTTTTATATAATTTTTATAAGGTTCTTATGTTGTTCTGTCTCAAATAATGATTTTTTTCATAATTAATCAAAATTAATTTAATATACTACTATTTCAATATATTTTTAAGAAAGAAATATGTTACTTAATATGTCAATATTTGAGGAACTAAATATCATTTTTAGTGTTTTTGGTATTATGGTAATTTTTGTGGTTGTAATTTGAAAAAAAAATTATTTTATAAAAAGTACTTTTAGTTGAGGTTGTTTAATATTTATATATATTTGGTTAAAATTATGATTAAAATTAAGGTTAAATAAAAAATAATTTAATGTGTTCGGTTAAGAATATTTTTTAAATTAAGGTTATAAAATAACTAAAAAAATATATTAATATTAATAGTTTTAAATTCAAATATTATAGATTTAACTACTCCAATTATATCATGAAATAAATTTACTTTATATAAAATATTTTTTTATTTCATTAAACTATCTATAATTTTATTACATACAAAATTCATTTGACAAGAACTATAGATTTCATGATTTTTTGAGCATACAATAAAATTAAATAAAATATTATTAAGAATAAAATTGAGATTACAGTGTGAGTGAATTTAATTCACTTTATAATATTTTTCAAAACAATTATTTATATAACAGTGTAAATAAATTTAATTTACTATAACTTAATTTTTAAAAAATTTATGTGAACATGAACAATGCAAGTAAATTTATCATTTATTGTATTATTTTTTAAAAAAATATTATTCATGTAAAATATACAAGTGAATTAAAATTCACTCTAAGTGTTCACTTAAAAAATAAATAATGTTGTGTAGAAGAAGAAGAAAATAAATAGTGTTTAGTTAAAAAATTCACTGTTTACATGAACATAAATATAAACTGTTTTGTTTTTTACTGTATTTTAAATATAAAATATATTAAGTTTTATAAGGAATAAATTATATTTTTTATTTTACCAAATAATTATTTTGTTGTGGTTGCTTCAAACATCCACGCAAACAAACAGTTGGATATATGACGTGCTGAAAAGCATATGCTAGTGTGGAATCCAGGAAGCCATTTATTAATTCTCCCGAACCATTATTAAAGCATCGTCATCCAACGTTTTTCAAACTTCTGTCAAACTAGATATAATTATTGTAGGGTCAATCAAAAATGACGATATACTTTTTTTCTGTTCAAGATCAGCGCACCGTATCTGTAAATGGAAAGTCAAATTCATTGACTCACAATTTATTATTAATATTATTATACATATACAATCATTTTTTTTGGCTCAAGTCAGTTTTCATCTGCTTAATTCTCTGCAATTTGTTTTTTTTTTTTATATTTATACGGTTAAGTTGGTTTTTTGTCTGCTATAATGCGTTTCTAATCTTATTAAAGAAGAATAAGAGTAGAGGGTAATTAACGTGTAATCGGTAAGGAGTGCAGGTAATTAGCCCAAGAAGTCAAAAAAATCTTTCATAGACAACCAGAAATCAAGGAATGAAATGCACTTGCGCTAGTGACTGATCTTCATCATTCAATCGGTATAAGTTGTTGGTTTACGGTTTACCCGATGTATTGGGTTTCTGAGAGTTTTCCAAAGATCTTCAAACATGTCTTAACAACTGATCATTTCCATGATCGGAAAAAGAGAATAATAATCGACATACAAAATTGCAAATAGATGTGTTTCTCGCTTCTATAATCACAATATATATTTTGCTCTAATATGTAAAATCATTGAAAGCTACAGTTAATTAATTAGCGTAATCAAATTTGATTAATTTCATCTTTTGTTCAAAGAAGCCAAGGAAAGAGTTATAATTGAAAAATTGAATACAGTTGGCCGTCAGCCAACTAACAGTCTCCATAGATCTATCTACTACTAAAAACTTTGAATGCAGCTCCTTACGAATGCTATATATATCTGCATGCTTTCATTGCGTGCTCCGCACTCATTCCCAAACTCATCAAGTCCTCTCCTCAATCTCTTCTGTCTCTTTGCCTGTCAAAAGAAAAATGGTTTCCAAGTCTCTTGGCCATCTCTTCCTTGTTTCTTTCCCAGCCCAAGGCCATGTAAGAGATAGATGTCCAATTACCATGCATGCCTCTCCTAAAACATGATGAAGTGCCTAGTTTCTTATATCCTACAACTCGTTGTCCTTTATTGAGGAGGACTATTTTAGGTCAGTACAAAAATCTTGACAAGCCATTTTGCATCCTGATGGAAACATTCGAAGAGCTTGAACCAGATCTTATCAAGCACATGTCCGAAATCTTCCCCATCAAGGCCGTTGGGCCACTATTCAGAAATCCCAAGGCACCAAAGACAACGGTCCATGGAGACTTGATGAAGGCAGATGATTGCATCGAATGGCTTGACACAAAGCCACCCTCATCAGTTGTTTATGTGTCTTTCGGTAGTGTCGTGCAATTGAAGCAGGAGCAATGGAACGAAATCGCTTATGGGTTATTGAATTCGGGTATCTCCTTCTTGTTAGTAATGAAGCTCAAACCAGCCCACAAAGATGCAGGACATGACCTCCTTGTTCTGCCAGATGGGTTCTTGGAGAAAGCAGGAGACAGGACAAAAGTGGTGCAATGGAGTCCTCAAGAGAAGGTTTTAGCTCACCCATCAGTTGCGTGCTTTGTAACACATTGTGGGTGGAACTCTTCTATGGAAGCACTCACATCAGGAATGCCAGTGGTGGCTTTCCCTCAATGGGGTGATCAAGTAACTAATGCAAAATATTTGGTCGGTGTCTTTAAGGTTGGTGTGAGAATGTGCCGCGGAGAAGCAGAGAACAGACTGATTACTCGTGATGAGATAGAGAAATGCTTGTTGGAGGCCACAGTGGGACCTAAGGCAGTGGAAATGAAGCAGAATGCAATGAAATGGAAGGAGGCAGCCGAGGCAGCAGTGGCTGAGGGTGGTTCGTCCGACTGGAATATACGATATTTTACTGACGATATTGTAAAAGCGAATGAGTCTGGGATTGCTAGAAAGTGCATTGGTTCTAATGAGTTTCCAGTGTCGGTAGTGGTGAGGTCCACCGAGAAAGTGGCTGAACTGACGGGGTCATCGCCCATCGGCATGAGGAGATTTGCTATAGATGCCGTGAACATGGAACGGGTTTAATCCGGTGTTCGTACGATGAAATTACTCTTGTTATGTAGCTGTCTACTTTTTACTTCCTTTAAGTAGCTATTAATAATATACCGCAAAGGCCAAATGCCATATAAAGGCCATTATGTATGGTTGTTATCGAATTTATGTACTCTCCTATCTATAATTTCCTAAAATCTTATTGGTTTGAATTGCTTGGAGTGGCTGTTGAAAATTAAAATTGTTGTAATATTTTTTGTTTTTATTAGATTCATGATTATACAATGAATGAGATAGGATGCTATTACGAGTTTATAAAATAAATATATTTAATAGTATTATAATTATAAATTATTACTAGCTAAGTAATAGAAACTAAATATATGATTGAGCCAATATTTCATAACAGAAAAAAAAAAAGAAGTTGTGTTGGTGATCAAAATTTAGAGACTGAACAAAATGATTTGTAGCATTCCATAATATTTTATAAGGAAATATATAATGTTTTCCTCCCATGATTTAACTTTTCTGTTAATAAAAAAAATACAAAGTTAAATTCTCTACTAACTTAATATAAAAATAAATAAATTGATAAATATAATTTTGGAAAGGAAAAAAACTCATAAAGAAAAGCGTTGTAGCTATTGATGATATTTTATAAGAAAAAACTATAATGTTTTTCCTAATAAAATTAACAAAGATAATTTTAGAAAAAATCATTAAAAAACAATTTAGAGAAATACTGTAGCAATCCATAGTGTTTTGTGAGGAAAACTACAACGTTTTTTTTTTTCCAAATAATTTAGCTTTATTTTAATTATAATTCTTAAACTAACTCAATATTCAAAAAAATAAAATTGACAAAGATAATTTTGAAAAAAATTATAATAAAATCATGTGAAAAAACACTCCAGTAATTCACAGTGTTTAAAAAAAATAAATCACAAAGCTAAATTCGCAATAAAATCAATATTAAAAAAATAAAATCAACAGAGACAATTTTTTTTTAAAAAAAGGAAAAAAATAACATGCTTAAAATACTGTAGAAATTCATAGTGTTTTGTGATGAAAGTTACGATGCTTCCCCACATGATATAGCCTTTTTTGTAATTACTTGTAATTCTAATTCTCAACTAGTTCAATATTAAAAAAAAATCACAAAGATAATTTAAAAAAATCATAAGAAAAAAAAATCATGTGAGGAAAAATTGTAGCAATCCATAATATTTTGTAAGGAAAGCTATAATATTTTTTCCATATGATTTAGCCTTACTTGTATTTATTTGTAATTGTAATTCTTAACCAGACCAATATTTAAAAAATAAAATTGACAAAAATAATTTTAGAAAAAAACATAAACAAACAAAAAAAAACCATGTGAGCAAAAACACTGCAGCAATCCACAATAATTTGCGAAGAAAGCTGTGGTGTTTTCCTCACATATTGTAATTGTAATTACTAACCAGCTCAATATTAAAAAATAAAGACAAAGAAAATTTTGAAAAAAAAAAAAATCATGTGGAAAAACACTAGAGCAATAAAGACAAAGAAAATTTTGAAAAAAATAAAAAAAAATCATGTGGAAAAACACTAGAACAATTGACAATGTTTTAAAGGAAAAAAATTAAAAAATTAAATTCTTGATTAACTCAATATTAAAAAAATAAAATAGAAAAATCGTGCAGAAAAACACCTTAGCTAAATTTTTTTTTATCAATTTTATTTTCTTTGCATTATTTTAAAGGAAAAAAATTAAAAAATTAAATTCTTGATTAACTCAATATTAAAAAAATAAAATTGACAAAGATAATTTTTGAAAAAAGACAAAAAAAAGAAAGAAAAAAAGGGGAAGTACTTTAAGGAAAAAAAGGGGGAGGGAAGTATTGTAGGAATCCACGGTAGCATATGAGGAAACCTACAGTACTTTTCTTATATGTTTTAGTTTTATGTATTATAAAATAGAAAAATTATATGGGAAAATACCGTAACAATCTATAATATTTTAAAGGAAAAAATTTACAAAGCTAATTTTTTAACCAGCTTAATATTAAAAAAGTAAAATTGACAAAGATAATCTTGAGGGGAAAAAAGAAGAAGAAGAAAGCATTGTAGTAATTCACAGTAACACGTGAGGAAAGCTACAATACTTTCTCCACATGTTTTAACTTTATGTATAATGGTTTTTTTCCTAAAACTATTGTTTTTAATTATATGAAATAAATTATAACAAAATCAAGTTCAATTAAAAAGAAAAAAATCTCACCAAACTTATAAAGTGGAACAACTTGGGTTACCTTAGCAAATAGATAAGCCATTTTAACTTTGTAAAAAGAAAAAATAAAAAGAAATAAATTACAAATTTTAATTTTTTATTACATCAATATTAAAAAAATAAACAAAAATCTAAAGAAATAAAAAAATGTGAAAAAATTAAAAAAAGTTAGAAAAAAAAAATAAATTGAAAAAAAGAAAAAAAGAAATGCACTATGAATTACTATTGTAATCTACAGTGCAATAGATGTAGGTTAATAGATGTAGGTTAATAGTGAATTCTCCATGCTATTTAGCTTTTGTATTAATAACATAAGAGAAAGACTTATCATTTCAATATATATATTAGCATGTTTATGAAAAAATGAGAAATGAAAGAAGGTGCATGGGGAATCTAAGGTGTCAAACTCCTTGATAGTTGCTTTCAGTATAATAATTAGTCAGCAAATAGAAAGCAAAATATATAGCTTTGAGCAATCGACAGTAATTATAGGAGGCGAGTGAAGTGAAATGGGTCGATATTTGGTTTGTTATATAACAAATAATGCAAGGTAAGGGCAGATTCCGCTCAGAAACATGAACAGTGGATGTTGCATGGAGAGAAGTTGAAGAGGAAAAAAAAAAAGATGGAAGTTGACCTGTAGTGGTTGTGTTGTTGTTGATGGTGGGCGAAGAAAAGGACTGGTAGTGGTTTGTAGAGGACATTGCTGGTTATTCTTCCTCTTTCTTTGTATTTTCCTTCTACCTTTCTTCTATTATTTGTTCTCCTTCCCTCTATTTTTTTTTTCTTCTCCTTTTTGTTTTTTGGCGGTGGCGGTGTTGTGGTGGCTGGCTATGGTTTGCGGCGAGGAACGATTCTTCTTCCTAACAAGGTGGTTGTGCAATAAGAAGTTGTTGTGCTGGTCAACAGTTCTTCTTTTTCTGTATATTTGTCCCTTGTTTTACTTCTAATGTAACTCTTCTTTATTTTTGTTTTCTTCCTCTTGTCTTGTTTCTGTCCCTTTTTTATAAGTTCATTCCTCTCTATCTCTTCTTGTTTTTTTTCTCAAATTCCCTATTTCTTTTTCTCTCTTGTTCTTTTTTTTCCCCTTTTGTTTCTCTCTATAATTTCACTTGTTTTTTTTTTCCTGTCCCCTAGTATTTATAAGGGGGAAAGAGAGTTACTATCCCTGTCCAGTCATGGTGCAAGGGTAGGGTAGCTTAGGCAGCCTCTGTGCAACCGCCCCAAAGTCGCTTGTAAGGCATGGTTCTCCTAGCTTTTTCATCATAGTGGTATGTCATGAGGGGGTGTGGGTTGTGTCGGGGTTTTGATTTTTTAAAAAGAGAGAGGGAGAGAGCCAAATGGACGCTGTAAAAAAAGGAAAGAAAACCTTCTGCCCCTCCCTTTATGCATTAAGGAAGAAGAAGACATATTGTCATTCAAAACGCCACCATTTTAGGCTCTTTTTTTTTAATAGTATATGAAACAACATCGTTTTAAATAAAATACGTCGTTTCATTTAAAAAAATAGTGATATAATGTGTTAATAAACTTTTAATTTCTTCAATTTAACTCTTGATTTGAACAATTTCAATTCCTCTATTTACGTACTTTTTTCTAGATTGGTCAATGGTTTCAGATTTCTTTAATCAAGTCCTTAACTAGCCATTGAACTTTGATATTTATACAATTAATCCCTCAATATGACCAAATGAACTCTTAAGAATTATAATTTGATCCTTGTACTTTAATTTCTTCTAATTAAAGCTTAAATTGACTTCATAATCAATTTTTATTGCAATCAAACCCTTCACAAATTCAATTAAACTTTCAATTGAATCCATAAATATTTGATTTTAGATTTTTATTCATCAAATTCAATTTTTCTTATCAACAAGGCTTTCATCTATAAAAAAATTTACTATCAAATTTCAATCTTTATTTTTTGAACCTTCTTAACTAATTTTTGGTCATTTTCTAGATATTTTGACATCCTCTTCTTACAGCTTTTTTTTTTTTTTGTGGTTTGCTGTGAATGTATTTTTTTCTATATGGGGACTAAAAAATGGATAACAACAAACTTTTATAAAGAAAATTAAATTAAATATAATAAGATCTTTGTACAAGTATCACGATTCATGTTCTACGAATAAAATATGGTAATTATATAAAATTTTATTAAATTTATTTTATGTGTGTAATTTGTGTTTGATTCATGAAAAGAAAGCACAACATAACTCTGACGTAAAAGATGTGCCTGTGAAAACATGTCAAGCCAAGAAGCCCACCCTGAAAAACTACGATATTGTAGCACCACCACTCCCATGCAAGTCGTGGTCGTTTGGTGGCGTGGAACCTAAATTAACAGGAATATAAATTAATACAATAAATTCAGCCATTATATATGGCATTGCAACTACAAATTTATCCTGAAAAATGTGAAGACTTGACATGCTTTTCGCAAAGTGTGATATGAAGTTTTGAGCAAAAATTGATAACTTCTTTGATTTATCCCCAAACTATTGAAGGTGAACCCTACTGAGGTGCAGGGCTTGACAGGTTTTTTTTTTTTGCAGAGTTTCAATACGCGAGTAAAACTTTTTGTTTCCCCTCCTTTCTTGTGATAGTGAAGCCCTTTATTTATTTACAGAGGTTTAAAGAGTTAAATTTGAAGATTTTGAGTGAAAGATACTTAAAAATAAATGACAATTGATAAAATTACTTGTAAATTTTTTTTTAAATAACACTTTACAAACTTGGTAATCATTAAAAAAAGGGTTTAAGTGATCCAAAAATGATATTTGGAAATAAGATTTATATTTTTTAAATATTTAATTTAATTTAGTTACCATAACAAAAAATAAAATGACATTTAACAAACAAGACCACCAAAATAATTTGTCAAATCAATTGGAAATTTTTTAATTCTACAAGCACGACTATTACAGTGCAAGTTGTGATCATTCTAGTGGCGTGGAAGCCTAAATTAAATAACTATAAT